TTTCAGTTTTTTTCAAATTAATCCGTTTTTTCGCAATTTTTCAAAATTCTGGTTTATAGAAGTTGTAGAGCAGCTCGAATTACATCGAAAATGAGTAAATTCTTGAAATTTGGTCGTCTCCTTAATTCTATGTGCTCATTTTGAGAAAAATTTGACTTTTCGATGTACTTCTGAGTGCTTTTCAGCTTCTCAAACTTCGTTTTTTCACTTTTATTTTTTTATTGACTATTCCCAGCATGAAAATAATTTTTCCAGGTTGTCATCGATCTTCAAGTTACGATTTTTTCAACCAAAAAAGGAAAAATCATTAAAAGGAAGGAATTCGCGATTAGTTAACAATAACAGACTCGTAATTCTCCGCCAAAGTTATTTTCAGATCGAGTTCAACTCGCGAACAAATAAAAGTGGACATAAAATACGGCAAAACTCATTCGTTCTCAATAGTTTAGTTCTGTGGTTTTTTTTAATGCTCCTCCATCGTCTAATAAACATGTTCAGAAAACTCTTTTCGTTTTTACCTACCGAACTGATTCATTTAATAACTCTTTTTGAGCATTCTACCCGTTTATTTGTTTTCTTTTTCGGCTCTGCAATTTGACTGATTTCAGGCAATTTCTCATACGAAACAAAAAAAAACAACAGGAATCAATACTAATTTATTTTTTTTTGTTATAAGATATTTTCCAGAAGAGATTTATCGTTTTTCCTCAACTGGCTTTATTGAAGTTGATCTGGACGTCTGCTTTTGGCTAAATTTTAGTTGTTCGCGAGTTGAACTCGATCTGAAAATTGAAGATTGGGATATGTATTCTGAATTCTTTGAAAATCCTTTAGAATCTTCCTTCCCTTTCTGACTAGGTCCTAGGTTTTGAAAGATTTTCTTAGAATTCATTCGACATCCTGATTCAACTCCTGGTTTCCTTTAAACTTTCGAGCCCCGACGGCTATGGCTGACTGAGATTTCAGTCAGTCAAGGGTTTAGCTGTGTTTGAAAGTGTATTGAAGATTGGGAGATGTCTTCTGAATTCTTTGAAAATCCTTTAGAATCTTCCTTCCCTTTCTGATTAGGTCCTAGGTTTTGAAAGATTTTCTTAGAATTCATTTGACATTACTCCTGGTTTCCTTTACACTTTCGAGCCCCGACGGCTATGGCTGACTGAGATTTCAGTCAGTCAAGGGTTTAGCTGTGTTTGAAAGTGTACCAGTCGGTTTACGCCCCCTGTCGGGGGCTCAACCTCCTGGCTTCCGCTTTCTGTATCTTACAATTTAATTTCTAATTTAAAAATCTTCGAGTTTCCGAATTCACCAAAATTTGTGAAAGTTTTGCATACTATCAATTTTTTTCGAGGAATATTTGATTTCCCAAATTTTCAAAATTTCCAAACTATTGAAAAAGATTTTTTATGTTCTGAAATCCGGAGTATGTGAACTCCCGGTTTCCAGAAGTTTCAAATTTTGGATAACTAAATGTCAGGTTTACTAAACTTTCTGTTCTCCGAAAATTCTGAATTTCGAAATTTTCGAATTTTGAAAAACAGTCGGTTTGCGCCCCTCCGGGCTGAGCCTCCTGGCTCCCGCTTACAGTACCCGTTGTTTTATAGACAGGTTTTGTCATTTTTCCAGGAACTATTTTTTCATGGTCTGTTAGGAAATTTCGAAATTCGATATTTTGGTTATTTAGAATTCCTAGAATTCGGAAAGTTGGAAGTAAGAAAATCCGGAAATTGAAAAAGTAAGACACTCGCAAGTTCAGAGATTAGTACATCTTAAAAAATCAGATGTAGGAAAACATTAATTTTGAAACCGAGAAAAGTGTTTCAATCTGTGAGTCTCAAATACCCAAATTTTGGTATATCAGATTTTGGCCTGAAACGGCAATGTTCGCAAAATTTATAGAATTTCGAAAAAGTTTAGAATCGAGAATTTGAGAACCTGAAAAATTAGAAATTCAGAAATTCAACTTTTCGAAACACAGTCTCGTCGAAAAGTTTTTGGAACTTCGGAAAATCGGAAATGTAGATTTCAGAATTCGAAAACTCTACATTTCGAAAATTTAGACATTCCGAAATTTGAAAACCTTAAATGTTGGAAAATCTGAAGCTTTGAAATTTTTTGGCATATTCGGTGAATAAGATCTCAGAAATTTATATATTCCGAAATTTGAAAGATGTGAAATTAAGTTCTGAAATTTTAAAAATTATTCTGAATTCTGAAAAATCGATTGATTAGAAAGGGCGCTGTCATTTTCCCTCCCATTCTGTTTCTTTCTTTTTTTCCTTTTATTTTCTTTCTTTTCCACTGTTTCAGAATTTTTTCTTCTTTTCAAACCTTTAAAATCCATACTAAAAGAATATTTCCACAAAAATCCTTTCTCTCAGAAATAGCGTGGATAAGAAAAAAATTTGGGCGGTTAGACGGAAATGACGTGAATATTTCTTCAATATTTTTCTAAAAATTTGCACTGTAGAAATAGAAGAACGTCTCCAGAAGACGTCAGACACAAAATTTCGAAAGATTAAATATTCGGGCATCATCTCGCTGCTATTTCGGGTTATCAGTGAAAATTTGGTTCATTCTGGACTTCGTTAGGGAAGGTGATACGGGAACAAACGGACACACTCACACACAAAATTTGGTGATTGTTAATAGTAGAGATTGAAGATTGGAAGTTGTCTTCTGATTTCTTTGAAAATCCTTATTGTAGGTTACGGTAGTAGTCGTTGTAGGACCTTCGGCCACAGCTACCGGTGTTTCTCTTCAACAGCGCCAACGTTTTGTACCAGAATAATACGGTACCTGAAAACTATCTTTGATCAAATGTTGTCATCTGGATTACTGTAGAAAAGTTGTTGTCAAATGAAACATTCGAATGAGTCATCAAAAAAACCTATTGTTTCGCTGACTTTCTTTAGAATTCTCAAACTATTTTAGGAGCAACGAATGAAACTCATCTTGTATTAATTGAGACATGAAACTCTTTCGAGTTGCCATCTTTTTTTTAACCATTTGTTTTTTGAAGGTATACCTTAAAACTTTAATTCATTTTTAAAACATGTTCTATTTCAGACAACCTATTCTTTGGACCCATGTGTTCTCTGTTCCAGCTTTCTGGCAGTTCCCAAAACTTGGGATAATGCTGCTGAAATTCTGAACGTTGTATGTACGAAACTTGGATGCAATGAATGCGGAGAACTTTTGAAGAGCACAGATCTGACGACTTCTTACGCCAATATGTATCCTCATATAGTTGACTGCAGAACTAATTTATGTAGAAACTATTGCAAGAAAATGTTAAACTGAAATAAAATTCTTTAATAGTAATAATAGGTCTTCAAACTGAAACCAAACACCACCATACTTTCAGTATACTTTAAAGCCATAAGAAATGACTAATTTTTCTTGTGACAAGATTCTATTGTAACTCGAATTCCATTTGTTGTCCTATTCTTATTTTCACAGTTAAAAAGAGAGAAAAAACTAATTTTGTTCAACTCGAACCGGAATATGAAACTCATCTCGGCAACATTTCTTTTTCTATTTTTCTGTATTTTCCTGGCAAGTCCAAGTACAGTAGTTTTTATTAAAGCATTCTCTTTACAGACAACCACCTCCCAGAACACATATTGTATAATATGCTCCGAATATTTTAACTTTCCTGAGACTTGGGGTGGTGCTTCACAACTTTTGAAAGTCGGCTGTTCAAGACTTAAGTTTGCCGAGGAAGCTTGTAATGGAATTGTGGATAATGCAAATTTGACTGATTCTTATCCCAATATGTATCCACATATCATTAATTTGAAGAACCTCGTTTGTAAAAAGTACTGCCCAAAGGATACTGTAACACCGTAATTTGATAGTCTTGTGAAGAAATATTGAAATAATGAATATTTTTGTTGAAACATTTCAAAAGTGGAGAAAAATAGACAGTTTGATGGTATGGAGATGAAGAAAAATACAATCGAACTTAAGTATCAATTAAGAATATCTTACAAAAATTTTAAAAAAAGTCAAACTTCAGTTTCGGAGCGGTTCATCAAAGGAAAATGACTAGACAAATTCTTGAGAATTCCCAGAGTCGGCGAATTTCAAAACCGGGAACCGAGTTCTCGTTCCCAGGTGTCTCCTTCGTATAAAAGTCAGGCCACCAGGATAGTTTCTTCACTATCATCACATATTTGTGAATCGTCTTCTTTTTTCAACAATGAAGTTCTTGACTGTTGTCCTTCTTCTCGCTGCTCTGGTGGTGAGTTACTGTATATCAGAGACCATCTTTAATAGATCAAAGGAGTCTATCAGATTTATTTCCAGATTACCCAAGTTGCCTCTCAAGCTGGTGGTATTTGCATGTTCTGCTCTGGATTGATCCAGGTTCCACAAGCCTGGTCACACGCCCAGGAGCTTCTGAAATATGGATGCGGTCAACTCGGTGAAGCCAAAAGCGCATGTGTCGAACTTGTCAACGCCGCTGATCTGACCAGTCCCTACCCGAAAATGTACCCATACATCATCCAGCTCAAGGATATCGGATGCGCATCCTATTGCCGTACCTAATTCTAAGAATTCTTTGTTCTCGAAAAATAAAAAAAATTGCATTTTATGTTGTTGTATTTATCATGTTGGTATGGAAAAATCGGAGCTGTGGAAGAGAAAGTCTGGTGGCTGCGGCCACAGCCGAACTACCGTAGTTAGCAAATATTTTCACTTTCCTATTTTCTCTCAATTTTTGTTCGAGAAAAAAGGACCAAAGTTTTTGGTTACGGTGGTTTTAGCTACGGTAACCGTTGGCTACGTCCACAAGCTTCTCTGTTCCCCGGGTCCGACTTTTTTATACCGGAAAAATGTTGCGAAGAATTAAACATTTTATTTTGTTCAAGGGGTCAAAAATTCTGGTTGACTAAGCCAGAATTGCTACGGGGTTTTCAAAAACGTGTCAATTTAATTTTGTTGAAACGAGTAGAAGGGGTGTGTGAAGCCATTCAAGCGTGCTCTTCTTCGGGTTGTGACTTCAATCAACCTAAAAAGAAATTTATACGATTACGTTTCCGCTTTAGCTTTTTTGAGAAAAAAGAGGTGTTTGCAATATTGTATCTCAGGCGAAAACTACCGTAATAGAGTGTTACCCCTAACTTCAAACTTAGAGCCAATTTTTCTCGGTTCCTATGAAAGATATCAGAAAGTAATCAACTAACAAAATGTTTTTGATATTACAATTAACAGTTTGTCAGTGGATTACTTTTCGATATCTTTTACAGGAAACTAGATGTATCGGCCCAAAGTTGTCGGTTTAGAGAGCGTTCTGTTAGAGTGTTTACGGTATCTCTAGAAGTCTTATTGTAACTTACAATTTGTAAGCGATATGGAGAGTTTTGTAAATGCTGAGAAATCTCAAAACAGATCTTGGTTTTGGGAAAAAAAATTCTAGAATACTTCAAAGTGAGTGAGTTGTAAGTTGAGACATCAATAGTTGTAAGAATTTCTGGAATTTCCTCTTGGTATACTAGTTCTACTAGCAGTTTGGATTTCAAATCTTTTGAAAATTTGAGATTTTTATTAACGGATTCCCAAAGAGCGCACTTTCGTCAGTGCCACTTTCAAAATTCCAACTTCTCTAAACCGAACAAAAAAGGTTCTCATGACCCATTATACCTGTCGCTTATATCTGTCTTCCCATCTCCCCGATCACTCAATGTCTAATTCTCTCTCCTTTTCATTATATCATATTTTGACTCTCTCACTCTGGAAAGCTTCTCCCATTTCTTCCCCTCCTCATCTGGTCCCTTCTTTCTGCTCTTCTTCTTCTATCCCAATGGTGCCCCCAGCCCCCCTTCTCTTGCCGTGCCCGTCTAATGTTACACCATTTCTAACGTCTCCACACTTTCTCATACTATTTGTTGATTTGTCTGCCACCCCAAACCCATTCTCATTTCCTCCTCGATTTCCGTGGGGCCCTGCGAAGAAGAAAAAGAAGAAGAAGGAGGGGGACTCACCGAGAACAAAACTTTATTTATAACACCGCCACACCAAGACGTCGTTTTTCTCATTTTCAGAATATGCCCATTCTTCTTTTTTTTTGTTCTTACAATACTTCTTTTTGTTGAATGTATTTTTTTTTCAGACCAAATGGGCAACAACGCCAGTTCGTTGTCCGAATTGAACCTCTTCTCGAAAGGCGGAGTCTTTACGAGAGAACAATTAGATGAATATCAGGTTGGTCCTTCTTCAACAGTCTTTTGTGGATAGCTAGTTCAGCTCACTAGCTAGCTAGCTAGCTGAAATACTGGATCAATTATGGTGTTATCTTTTCGGAACGTTTTTCAAAATAATAATTAGTTCTCGCTCTTTTTCGATGGAATGTATTTGGGCACCGCTGAGTAGCGACTCAATAGTTCAATTCAAAGAGACCAATGCTAATTTTACTGTAGTATAACGGTCATTAGCAATCGAGCTCATTTTCAAGACGTTCCAAAAAAAAAATACCGTGGATTAACAAGACAAAGGTTCTCTGATTCCAAAAAAAATATTTTGAAAATCTTTTTAATACTATAAAATAAATCTATTCTTGAACCTCCATTTACTCTTCTCATTCTCCAAATGTTGACCTCGTTAAACCTCGATAAAAGAGATATCCTTTTTCTCGAGAGTCCATACATCAATTGGTTGCACTCTATTCCCAAAATCTAGATAAGAGTCTCGCTGAAAGCGTTTATTTCCCCCAACTCCTCGTTTCTCTTTCCCAAAGCTCTCCCAGTGTGTCTCCGTTTAAAAAAAGAAGTTTATTCGGTGCAAAGTGGCACAGTCATAAATCAAAAAGCGAAGAGTTTGACGCTCGTATCTCGTTTTTCAGGATTGCACATTTTTCACAAGGAAGGACATCATTCGACTTTACAAAAGGTTCTATGCACTCAATCCACACAAAGTGCCGACGAATATGCAAGGCAATCGACCTGCAATTACGACGTTGACTTTTGAAGAAGTGGAGAAAATGCCAGAGTTGAAAGTGGGTGTTTTAATGAAAGTATTACATAGATTTCCTTTGATCGACCTTAGACTTGCCCCTTTATATCACTTTTTGACCTGAATTATCTCAGCTTCTGGAACTGATGTCGAAAATCTGTCGACTTTGTCATATACCGCATTTCTTCTAATAGAAGCCCACCTAAACCGTAAGCTATGAATAGTAAGAACTTATTTAATTAGACTCACAATGAGGAAGATCCAATAAGCTATAGAGAAAACTTAAGTAAAACCTAAAACTCAAACCATAGAACTGCAAAAAAACAAGAAATCATGTTGACTTTATGATTCACTGTGAACAATAAACACTGGTTTTGTAAGCACAAGAAACCCATCCCGTTATCAAACAATTTTTCAGCCTTTCGACTCTCTTCCTCAGTTGACAAGTGTTATCAAATACAAGAACTTTTGCTAATAGTAGTTTTTGATCGAATTGCTTGAAAATAGACAAATCATATCAACTGCTTTTCAAACATCTTGCGCCTTTCTAAATCTATAATTTTGGAATTTCCGGATGACTCGATTAAAACGAAACACATTTATTTCAAAACCAAACAAAGTACATCAGTTTTTTTTAAACTTTTTTATTATACTTACAAGTTGTAGAGGGGTCACTTTGGGGAGTGTTGGATTCCCCGTGACGGCTCCAGAGAAACAAGCTACCTCCTTGTGCGTGCTGTCTGGTAAAATAGGGGAAAGTGCATCGGTAACAGGGGAACTAGTTATTGTCGGAATAAAAAAGTGAGACTCGGTGTTTGCGTACTTTGATTCCCACCTCCCCCCACCGACGCTCCGCCCATCGCTTTGCAAGTGCGGCGTGGTGTTTTGGCGCCACTTGGGAGATCATCGGATTTAATGAGATTTTCATAGAAAATATGATCTCCGGGGGTACGACGAATTCGAACGTTTTCAAAATCGAACAGATTCAATTCAGAACAGTCCTTTTTTCGCACACG